GAAGGATGCTGGAGGTGCCTGACACAGATCACCTCCCAAGTAACACGGTCAGTGATCACCTTTAAAATAGTATTTTGTGTTATTTTATTTTATGTATATTGCTGTGAGGATGTCCTATCACTTGGAACTGGAGTTACAGACATTTGTAGGTTGCCATGTGGGTGCTGGGAATTTGACCTGGGTCTTTGGAACAGCAGAGTGTGCTCTTAACCACTGAGCCATCTCTCCAGCACCCTGCTGATCAGATTTTAATTGCTTTTCCTACATCCACAGTCTTTTAGTCATCCTTCTCACTATGGCCAGTGGCACAGAAGATAAGGACTGAGACTTCTCTAAGAATAACAACATTCAGGACACTAACACTGACTTTCCAGCATCCCACAGGATTGCTGTGACTCACCACCTGTGTTCTCACCTGTGACATGTGGGTGCTTCAGCAGGAGCAGGAGAGCATATCTCAGTGTTGTGCTTGTTGTCTCTGTCCCAGCACCAAACAAATCAGTCACAGTCGTTGCCAAATTGTCAGCTGTAAATATTGAGTGCTGATTGTGGTTTTCCTAAGAATTGTTTGATGCAGTTAGCTAGTAAATTCTTTACTAGCACATCTGATAACAATTTCTCTACAACCTCACACCGTTTTCTATTGTTGCCAATACAGAACTTGAAAGTATAGTTCAAGAACAAATTAACACAGCACTCCAGAGACAGGCACAGAGATTCTAAATTTCATTTTCTACACAGAGAAGCCCCAAATTGTTAGAGTCAAATGCCTTTGACTTTTTCACACTACCCTTAATATATGGACCTTTGTTTTTAATGAATAATCAAAAATTTTTGGTTTACATCATTTTAAGAATTAAAGATCTTACATTGTACACATTTAAATGTAGACGCTCCCATAAATCCAAATTTTTGGTAAGCAAAAAACAAGGAGTATCAGAAAGGAATACTACTGCAGACTCCCAATAAAGTTGAACCTGAAAAGATTAAAAGTACAAATATCTAGAAAAAATAGGGAACAAGGGTAGGTTCACAAAGTTGAGGTGACCTGGCCTCATTCCATATGGGAGTCTGCTAGTAACTTGGTCTAGATAGGGAAGAATAAATGGAACATACAAACTGTAGCGTGAAGACACAGTAATGGCTCTCATGGGATAAAGGAGAGAGTAAGTATAACGCAATTATCAAAGCAAGGAATAAAGCTGAGGAGATAGTCTACAGTAGGGATGTCATCGTGAATTCAGCTATGGATGTTTAGTCAGGTTATCATTCATACACATCTCCTGACTTATGGATTCATAACACTAAAGTATCTACTATTGTGTGATAAACACTACTAATATTAGTAAATTAAGTAGTACTATATGGTCTCTGCTAGACAGACACACTCCTCTCCCTCTGTACTATGAACTTCATGTCATTTACTTTTTTTGCTGAAATTCATTTATTTTATTTATTATTTTTCTGTTTGGTAGTTCTAGAAAATCATGAGAAGTTATACATTCTCATTTTCCCCGTTCTTATGATACACTAGCCCAGACCAGGGGAAAACAGATGGGAGGAAATAGAAAGAACATGCCTTCTTCAATGCTAATTCTCAATTTCAGACACAAAACTATGGCCTGAAATGTAAATCAGACCCGAGGACCTGATTTTATGAATATCATTTTATAAAGCCAGGTCACATCCAATTGTCTATTTTCTTGCTAGAAGGACAGGACCTAACATTTGTGGCAGGATGTACATTCTATGAAAATGAAAATATCCACCAGCTGACCCTACACAGGAAAACTTCACAAGCTCCTGCTCTATCATAGTAATAGTGTTTGGTCTTGTTTTTAACTCTTCTATTACCCATTGAACATTCTAACCATTGAATGTTGTACACAAGACAATAACCACATGCCTTATATGCACAGTTTTCTAAGTCCTCACAGTCTATGGAAGAAATCATTGTGTTGGACTCAAAGTATGGACTCTAGAAGCTGATCACATACTCTGCCTTCTGATTTCATTGCCAGCCAAATCTTACTTAAATGATCTGTGTGATCTTGAATGGTTTTATCTTAAACATTCTTTAGAAGATCTTCCTCTCAGTCGACATTACAGAAAAAATATTGGTGTATAAAGGCCAGAATTAGAACTCAAGACAGTCATTTCAGGTAAATTCTTAAACAATACTAAGCTTTTACAGTTATGTTAAAGTGAATATAGATTTCAAGTACCAAAGTTAAATCAAGAGCCGATAAACAGTATAAACTGCCTTAAAACCCCTAAGGAAATAGAAGCAGCCATCAAATGTCTCCCAAACAAAATAAAAGCCCAGGGCCATATTATATAACCTTATATATAATAAAATATAATATGCACAATGTCAGTATTACGGGCACATATTTCACATAATTAGTACTTTTCTTCAGCAAATAATAAAGGGGCTCTCTTACCTTTGCATTTGTGCCAAACAAAATTATATAAGTATCTTCAGTGATTGTTCATGGGTATTCAATATGAGGTATTGGTGACAATAATATTAAGACTGATTTATACTTGCTTTTTGATTGGCTTAATTTGGTTGTGTAACTTTCTAGTTCATTTGCCATCTGTATCTCTTACTCTACCCCTTTCCTGTTTGAGTCAGATTTATTTCACTGAATACAAAAATAATCTTGCTCACAGCAGCTTGTCCTGGGATGTGAAACTTCCTTCTCTGTCTGTTACCCTTTGTCTAGAAGAGCCTGAACTTCCTCCCAGGCCCATAGCTTCCACATCCCAGTGTTACTAACCCCCCCCCACCTTTGGACCTCACCCTGTGTCAGATCTCATCCCTACTCTGACTCTGGATCCTTAAGGGCCTTATCTCTGGTCAGATCAAGTTACCATCCTGGGTCTGCACTGGTGCAATAAAAATGTGACTATCACAAGGTACCAAAGTACTTTCTGGTTGGTTTCAAAGCCTATAGCAGGGAATTTCATACCCAGAAATGTATTTGTATTAACAGGCCCAAGGACGGAGAAGTCATAGACCCTAGGATACAACTTATTGATGTTATTTTGCTAAATGATCATATTGTCAAGCTGCTATCTAAATGTTTATGTTTATCCCCATAAACCTGAGCTGTAATAAACTTAGGTCAGAGAAGCTTCATTTTTCAGAGATTAAAAATCTATCCAGAGAGGTGTAACTGGTAAAAATGCTGAAAATAAGAGACTGGGTATTCAGCACTAAATCTAACACCTTTATCAGCCCTATTTTTCTTTCAAGGTTTATGGAACAATGTGCAAGAAGAGGTAGAAAACATGTAAGAGCAAGAGGGTGAGAAAAAGAGCTGTGAACTGCAACCTTCTGGAGAGGAGCAGGCTCTTTCCCTCATGAACTCACTGCAGCTGTGGTTATCTACACAGCTGTGTATAAAATCAGCCCATTCCAACTTCCAGCAGTGATGGAGGAAGGCTATCCATGTCATCCTTTATACTAAACATCTATTAGCAAATGTAAACCCCTGAAGAAAGGAAATCTTTCTTTGGAAGGCATGGCTGCTGAGAGGTTTCCCATGATACAGTGCTTGCCATTATTCCCAAGCAAATATGCAGAGCACCTCCTGGAATTAGTGGGCTATTGGGATTTAAAGAAGAAGAAGAAGAAGAAGAAGAAGAAGAAGAAGAAGAAGAAGAACAGAAGGAGAGCATGAACTTGGGAGAGAGTTGATACAGGAGAGATGGAGAGGAAATGTGGGATGAATATAACTATGTCTCATTTTATATCTGTATGAAATTCTCAAGAATATTCGTTAAAGAAAATTTCTTTAAAAAGAAAAAAAAACGGTCCTTTTAAATATATCTGCCATAAAAGATATGTTACGTACACTCAGTGATTAAGGAATTAAACAATAAATTAATGACACATTCAAAAATAAAAATCCTCATTAAGTATAAACTTATGGAAGAATAAAAAGTGTTAACATTATCTTTTTATATTAAATACTTTTTCTGTTCCAAAATGTTTAATGCATAAAACAATAACTAAAAATAAATACTATGGGATGATCCAAGATGGCAGCGCTAAGAGGACACTGTGCCTGATGAGCAGGACAGCAGTGAGTGACTACACTGTGACCAAGAGACAGAACAGAAGAGTTCCCCAATCCCGGTAGGCGCTCAGTTGCCAGTCCAGAGCCACATGTCTACATGCTCTGTTCACCCTCCCAGAGTGAACTGTGGGCACCATAACATCAGACACTGGGATTTCCAGTAGAGAAAAAAAACCCATGGTGAAGGAAGCAATTGGATTGACTTCAGATCACCCGGACAATCCCTGGAAAAGTTCCTGGGGTCCGGCAGACTTCCCATGCGACAACTCACCTTCCCAGATGTAACTGTGGGCTACAGGGCACCAGAGATGGTTGTCTCTGTCAGGTGGAGACCCCACAGTGAAGGAAACAAAAGATTCGACCACAGGGCACTCAGCTGATCTACCTGTCCCCCAAAAAGAATGTTCTCAGGGAAAAGTTCCCAGGTTCCTGCAGGCCCGCAGTCACCAGCACGGCTATTCACATGCATCAGCGTGCTCTACTCACCATCCCAGACTCTAAAACACTAGTCCAGACTGTGTACTCTAAAACACCACAGACTGGGTCTCCCTTTGGGGAGGAAACCACACATTGCGGCAAACATATGGTCTGTCCTCAGGACACCCAACTCTGGAAAAGTTTCTGGGCTCCTGAAAGCTCCAGGCTCTAGCCTCCTACTGCATTCACCTCCCACCGATTTACACTTGGGTACTGGAGCACAGAACTCCAATCTCAGACCTACAAAAGCCTGGGATCCATGGGATCAGCCCCATACACTGAAACAAGGCACAACCTGTCGCCCTAGCTAAAATGACCAAACTGCTGGGTTCCCTGGTTCTCCAAGAGAGATGCACCCAGCAAACACAGTGTAAGAGCAGCAGCAGCCCACTGAACTCAGAGCAAGAAAAACAGTGGCAGGGCAGCTGTTTCCAGGACTTTTCCTAGTGAGAGAAGAGTGCCCCTAGCTACCAATGACTACAGTTACCACACAGGTCCATAAGCCTGAGTTGAGCTGTGACAATTCCTGAAAAACATAGCCATTCAGTTAACCATACCCAAAAAGCTGAGGAGGCCTCCTTCAGGAATCACCATCTTCCTGCCAAGGGGATTCTCCCCATGCAAGGATTCCAGGTACCAGAAACTAACAGCCAATACCTGAAACCAGTAGATGGGTAGAAGCAAGTGTAAAAACACAACCAACAAAAGCCAAAGCCATATGGCATCTCCAGAACCCAGGAGGCAAGCAGCCCTGGACACCTTTCATAAGTGAAATTTAAGGAGATGACCTTACATCTATGCTTATTAAGAGATTAATGGAGGAAACAAATAAAATGTGTAAGAAGATAAAGTTAAACAGATTATTGTCATCCTTAAGGAAATATAGCCAAACAGTTTGTGGCCTTCAGAGAGGAAATAATTAAGTACTAAAAGAAATAAAAGAAACAGAGTTCAAACAAACAGGTGAAGGAACTGAAGGAAAAACAGGAAAATGCACTCAGACAGGTGAAGGAAATCAACAAAACAGCTCAAGATCTGAACATAGAATTGGAAAAATTAAAGAAACACAAATGGAGGAAACTATGGAGAGGAAGAACTTAGGGAAGAAAACAGGAACTACAGAGGTTAGCATAACCAATAGACTACAAGAGATGGAAGAAAGAATCTCAGGTGTGGAAGATAGAATGGAAGAAATCAATGAATCCATCAAAGATGTTAAATCTAAAACATTCTGGACACAAACTGTTTAAATAATCCAAGACAACACAAAAAGACAAAACCTAAGAATAATAAGAACTGAGAAAAAGAAGATTCTTGTTGCCAAGGCCCAGAAAATATTTTCAGCAAAATCATAGAAGAAAATTTTCCCAACATAAAGGAGAAGCCTATAAGAATACAAGAGGCCTACAGAAGACCTAATAAATTAGACCAGAAAAGAAAATTCTCCCACCACATAATAATCAAAACAGCAAGTACACAGAACAAAGAAAAAACACTAAAAGCTGCGAGGGAAAAAAGCCAAGTAACATATAATGGCAAACCCATCAGAATCACACCTGACTTCTCAACAGAGACTATGAAAGCCAGAAGGGCCTGGACAGATATCATGGAGAAACAAACAAACAAACAAAAAAATCCCAGGCTATTATACACAGCAAGATAGTCATAGATGGAGAAAATAAGATATTCAATGACAAAAGAAAATTTAAAGAGTACCTACCTACAAATCCAGTGTTACAGAAGATAATAGAAAGAAAAATACAACCCAGGAAAGTTAGCTACAGTCAGGAAAACACAAGAAATGAATAATTTCACTACAGCTTTGCTAAAAGTAGCCAAGCACACAAACACACCAACACAGCCAACAGCAAAATCAAAGTATTTAACAGCCACCAGCCATTAATCTCTCTCAACATCAATGGACTCAGCTCTCCAATAAAAAGAATAAAAAGACACAAACTAACAGAATGGATGAATAAATAAGACCCAGCAATCTGATGCATACAAGAAACAAACCTAAGTCACAAAGATAGACATTACCTGAGAGTAAAGGGCTGGAAGTTGGTTGTCCAAGCAAATAAACCCGAGAAACAAGCAGAAATAAACATTCTAATAACTATCAAAATAGATTTTCAACCAAAATTAATCAAAAGATATGGGGAAAGTCATTTCATACTCATCAAAGGAAAATTCCACCAAGAACACATTACAATTCTGAACATCTATGCCCCAAATACAAGAGCACCTACATTTGTAAAAGAAACATTAATAAAACTAAACCACACATACATCCCCACACATTAATTTGGGAGACTTCAACACCTCACTCTCAACAAAGGACAGGTAAAAAAAAAAACAGAAATTAAACAAAGAAACAATGATTTTGACAGAAGTCATGAATCAAATGGACCTAACAGATATCTACAGAACCTTTCACCCATACACAAAAGAATTTACCTTCTTCTCAGCACCACATGGACCCTTCTCCAAAATAGACCATATAGCTGGTCATAAAGCAAGCCTCAACAGATACAAGAAGATTGAAATAGTCCCTTGTATCCTATCTGAACACCATGGACTAAAGCTGGACCTCAACAACAACAGAAATGGCAAAAAGCCTACAATCACATGGAAACTGAACAACTCATTACTCAGTGACAGCTGGGTCTGGAAAGAAATAAAGAAAGAAATTAAAGACTTCCTAGAACTCAATGAAAATGAAGGCAAAACATATCAAAACTTATGGAACACAATGAAAGCAGTGCTAAGAGGAAAGTTCATAGCACTAAGTGCCTTCAGGAAAAAAAATCGAAGCATCTCATACAAGTAATTTAATAGCTCACCTGAAAGCCCTAGAAAAAAATAAAGAAGCAGATTCTTCAAAAATGAGTAGACAGGTGGAAATAATCAAACTCAGGACTGAAATCAATAAATTAGAAACAAATAAAACAATTCAAAGAATCTATGAAACCAAGAGCTGGTTCATTGAGAAAATCAATAAGATAGACAAACCCTTAGTCATACTAATGAAAAGGCAGAGAGACACTATCCAAATGAACAAAATCAGAAATGAAAAAGGGAATAACAACAGACACTGAGGAAATCCAAACGATCATTACTTCAAAAACCTATACTCCACAAAATTTGAAAATGTAAATTAAATGGATTATTTTCTTGATCAATTCCATTTATCAAAGCTGAATCAGACCAGGTAAATCAATTAAATAGTCCTACATTCCCTAAGGAATTAGAAGCTGTCATTAAAAGACTCCCCTCCAAAAAAACCCCCAGGGCCAGATGGTTTCAGTGCAGAATTCTAACAGACCTTCAAAGAAGAGCTAACACCAATATATTTCAAACTATTCCACAAAAATAGAAACAGAAGAAACATTACCAAGCTCATTCTATGAAGCCATAGTCACCTTGATACTTAAACCTCACAAAGACCGGAAAAAGAAAGAGTATTTCAGGCCAATATCCCTTATATACATTGATGCAAAAATATTCAACTAAACACTTGCAAACCGAATCCAAGAACACATCAAAGATATCATCCACTATGACCAAGTAGGCCTCATCTCAGGTAGGCAGGGGTGGTTCAAATCCAGAAATCCATCAATATAATCCATCATATAAACAAACTGAAGGAGAAAACCCACATGATAATTTCCTTAGATGCTGAAAATGCAGTGGACAAAATCCAACACCCATTCATGCTTAAAGTCTTGAAGAGATCAGGGACACATGGCACTTACCTAATCAGTGTAAAGGTGATATACAGCAAGCCTATAGCCAACATCAAACTCAATGGAGAGAAACTTAAAGCAATCCCACTGAAATTGAAACTGAAACAAGACAAGGCTGCCCACTCTTTCTGTATCTCTTCAACATAGTACTTAAAGTCCTAGCTAAAGCAATAAGAGAATTAAAAGAGATCAACGGGATTCAGATCGGAAAAAAAGAAATCAAAGTATCACTATTTGTAGATGATATGATAGTATACCTGAGTGACCCCAAAATTCTACCAGGAAACTCCTATAGCTGATAAACACCTTCAGCAAAGTGGCTGGATACAAAATTAACTCAAAAACAAACAAACAAACAAATAAAACAACAACAACAAAAAAAACTTCCTCTATCTATGGACCTGGAGAGGTGCATAGGAGGAGATGAGGGAGGGAGGGGAGGATTCGGAGCTGTAGAGGGAGGGGACTACAGCTGGTATACAAAGTGAATAAACTGTAATTAATGTAAAAAATGAAACTCTTAAAAAATCAGTAGCACTCCTATATAAAAAAGACAAATGGGCTGAGAAAGAAATTAGGGAAACAACACCCTTCACAATATCCACAAAGACATAAAGTACCTTGGTGTGACTTAAATGAAGCAAGTCAAAGATTTGTGTGAAATAACTTCCAGTCTCTGAAGAAAGAAATAGAAGAAGATATAAGAAGATGGAAAGACCTCTAATGCCCAAGGCATGGCAAGACTAACAGTAAAAATGGCCATCTTACCAAAAATAAATACTATGCTTGCACAATGTGTTATGTTAATAAAAACTTAAAAGCACATTATGAGGGTGAATTTGGGAAAGCAGTTAGAAACATAAAATACAAAACTTATTGAACACAATATGTCACACACTATGACATGATTGGAATTAGTTTCCCATTTACCTGTCCTTTGTATTCTCTTCCTTCACAGCTAGATTGCCTTTTTTTTTTTTCCATCAGAAGATAAATGTCAATGTGTTCTAGTTAACAAATCCCCCTTATGTTTTCTTGGGTTTGTATTGTTTGCACACACACATAATAAATATTCAAGTTGTTTTTCAAATGGTAGTGCCCTGAGTATTTAAAGATCTCTGGCAAATATTTGAGTATTCAGAGAATAAAGAAATAATTGAAAAATAGAAGAAATAAGTTTATATAAATTCTTTACCTGCTTTGATTTAATCAGGTAATAATCAATAAAGTCCCGAGGATTTGTGACATCCAATGATTCTTGATGTTCTTTTATTTTCTCCAAAAGGTAGCTTTTAATATGATCAAGATTTTTAGCTACTGTGTTATGACTTCCTGGGCAATAATCAAGGAGAATAGGGAAAGCATTGCAGAACTACAAATAAATAAATAAATAAATAAATAAATAAATAAATAAATAAATAAATAAAAAATAAATAAAGCCAAAAACCAAAAAAATTATTAAGTGAATAGGGTGTTATAAAGAAATACATACATACTAAAATATAGCAATTCGGATTTATAATCCCATATGTGACAGATGTCCACCTTGAATAGGAGGTGATTCATTTATATATAGAAATTTTCTATGCTGGTAGTTAGATTTGAGGAAGAAAATCCTGCCCAAATGATCAAAGTTCATAACTGACTTCTCCACATTCAAGAATAATTCAATTCTGCCCTATAAATTAGAAATGTCATATAATATATATTATTGTATTTTATGTGTTTTAGGTGCCAGTAGAAGTTAATATAATTAACAACTTGATTCACGGCAGAAAGGTAGTATCTGCAGCCTTTTTCCTATCATCTAACCTCTTACATGGAATGAGTAGGAGGAAGTGAGTAGACCTCTAAAGAAGCCTTGAAACCATTTGCACAGTTAATGACTTCTCTGTGATCCATAACCACTATTTAGGCAGAGAGCAGGGAGATGCCAGGTCAGCACAGGAGAACATTGTGAGAATGTTTCTGGTCCACACACCATAAAACCATTCATCTTGTAATGTCTTCCTGTTCCCTTGTGAGCCAGGATCCAAACAGAAGCAACAAATATCTGGAGGAATTCAGTGCTTCCTGGTAGGTCATTACCCTAAAAATTCTTTAGCAGAATGTCCTCTGTCAAAGCTAAGATATTTATGCCAAATGCTGTAATGAAGATGGACTTAACTGTTCACAGTACTAGTACTTGTGGGTAGTGCAAGAATGTTTTATGAGTGACTACTTGTCCTCTCAAAATGAAGTAATTTACTTAAACAGCTCTCTGTAGGTCAATAAGGAAATCATCTGATAGGGAGATAAACAGTTTGAGCTAACCTAGCATTTGCTCTTTGTTTTTCTATTTGTTTAGCAAAGGACATAGACCTCCATTCCAAAGACCCTTATTCTGTCATCTCACCATTAGTAATTTACATGAGGAAAAAATTGGCCAAAAGTTTTTTTTTGTTTTGTTTTGTTGTTGTTGTTTGTTTGTTTGTTTGTTTTTTCCTTAGGAGGACCAGAACTTGGCTTTACCTGCAACCAGGGGGAGCTCAGAATCTTGACATTTTCATTTGTTTTTTCCAGGAAGTTAAGAAAATCCTGATCTTTGTAATCAAAACGATTCTGGAAAATAATGGAGCAGATGACGTTGCAGGGAGCACAGCCCAGGATGAAGGTGGGGTCACAGGGTGCACCTGAAAATTTGGAAACAATTTTAAGTATATATCAAAAGCATTGTCCTTGTTAACAGGTAAAGACACTGAACTGTTGAGGGAACAATGGAAGGATTTGGAGGAACAGAAACCTCCCAACAAGACCAACAGAGACAACTAACCCAAGCCCAAGGCAGCTCTCAGAGACTCAGACATCAACTAAAGAGCATGGATGGTCTGGACTTAGGACTCCTGCACATATATGGCCAATGGGAAGTGTGATCACCAAATGGGCTGTGTGGCAAGTGAAGGGGCTGTTTCTAACATGGACACTATTGCCTGTTTTGGATCACTTTCCCCTGGCAGGGCTGCCTTGCATGCTCAGGGAATGAGTATATGTTCAGTCCTGATTTGACTTGATATGCTGGAGAGGGTTGATATGGGGGGAAGGGACTTTCCTTTTCTAGGTGAGAAAAGGCGAAGGGAGGAGTAAAAAGGGGACTGTGTGGGGGAAGAGAGGTTACAGGGGAGAGGGGACTTGGAGGAGAGGATAAAGGGGTCAAACTGTGGGATGTATACTAAATAAACTGAAATTTAAAATTTTAAAAATATTCTAAGCAGTATTCTACCTGCAATTTCTTCTAACAGCTAAACATTCTGTATATATGGATATTAGGACAAACATGAGGAGGAGAATTCCTTTATTTTACATGAGAAGACATCAAGAACAGACAGTGCCTTGTGTATTTGTTTGTACTAATGAATAACATGAATAAAACCTTCTTATTTTAAAATAAAATTTCAGGAGGGCAGAATGCAAAAAAAGAAAAAAATGCAGACTCCCCTATTCTCATTACAATGTTTCAAAGAATGAATGTTGCTCCTTAAGATGTGAACACTCTATATGACACTGAACCCAAAATATAATGTATGTGAGACTAGAGAAAGAAGAATGATGGGAATAAAAGGGCCAGAAAAGAAAAGATGGGGGATGATCATAGTCAAAGTACATGACACAGTAGTGTGAAATAGTGTTTAAGAAGTCCTCATTGTGTACCATGAGTAGACATCAATGGCATGTAATGTAAAAGACGTAACTGGTCATCGTGGTCAATCAAAATTCCTCATTAATATATTTGGGTAAAGTTGATATCCATAGGTTTGGGACTATTTTTAAATTATCATCAAAGTAATGTGATAAAATTGCAATGATGTCTGAATTTTTTGTTTCACATTGGCCATGTCTATGCTTTTTACAAATAAGAAAATAGAAGAACATTTCTTTTTTATGTGCTTTCTATAGAAATTTCTGTAATTAAATATTAGTATTGTTTATATGTAAGGAGATTACAAAATTATAACTATAGTTTCCAAATAAAGATCACTTTAATTTTAATATGCTTAGCAAATTGTTACATTTGTAATTAAAGGGAAATTCCAGAATATGTTGGTGGTATGACAAGCTTTTAAACATTACCATATTATAATCTTTCAGAAATGTATTCTTTTTAGCAAAGAAGATAATGGGTATTATCTTTTGGAATTTTGGAATTTTGGAATTTTGGAATATTCCAAAATTCCTTTTGGAATTTTTCTTGGTATGCATGTCATTCACAGGTAAAATCTGATTTTCAGTCTTTTCTTCACTTTCTTTTGAGAAAAGAACTTAAAGAAACAGTCCTTCAGAATTTAAGCAAATAAACTGAGTCTCCCCTGACAGGTACTTCCTAAGTAAGTAGCATTTTCAATGGCAGCAAAGTAATATCTCTCCATCCCCTAAATCCAAATAGTGACTGTGGAGAGAATTTATTGACAGGACAGAAGGCAGAACCGTAATACACTTTGAGAACGATGAGATAAAGTATTAATAAAAATAGTTCAAGTTCAGTTAAACTAGTAATTTCATTAGGTTTGTGTGTTTAGCAGATTGATGTCACATGTAATTCCTTAAATACATAAATCACAACATAAGAAGAAATCATGATAATTTTTGAAATCATGATAAAACTCTATTACACTCATCTAAATAATTAAAAAATGTATTGAATAACTACTACTCAAAACTGTGGACATGAGCCTTCAGGATACCTTGGAACATCAGTGAAGTTAGGGAGACCAATGTAGTTCAACAAAATGAAAAGAAAGAAAAAAAAATAAAAAATAAAAAAAAAAAAACAAAATGAAAAGAAATTCATCTGGTTTGGGCCCCAGAAGTGTAGATGAAATCACTACCACCATTATCAGTAGCAATTTTTCTCTGATGAAATGATTAACAATATACAAGTAATAGTTGTACCAAGGATATAACTCATCAGAAAATTAAAATGAAAGCTGTGTTCATGATATCTGATTCAAAAACAAGAGGAAAACATTTGAAATAGTATAATATCAATAACTCTTCTATACCCAAACCTAGAACAGGATGAAAGAGGCAAAGCACAAAGCTTTCCTCACCATTGGTTCTTCTCAGTTCCTCCACAAGGCACTGGGCCTCTTCTTGAACTCGGTCCTCAATGGTCCTTTTGCCCATGCCTAAATTCCGCAGGGTTGTCAGAGAGAAGCGCCTTATTTCTTTCCATCTGTTTCCATGGCTAAAAATGATTCCTAAACAAATGAGAACAAAAACTACAAAGTGATTTCCAGAAGAGAAGGACCATCTGAGAACACACAATAACACAGAGGCCCAACCTGAGCTCCAGAAGCAAGTCTGGTGTTTTCTTTATATCTTCTTCCTCACCATAACTACTACCCAGCTCACACATGAATGTACACACTTACTTACCAAGGCCTTTATTAATATTTTCAGCCAGAGGGAAGCTTCCTCTTCCAGAAAACTCCTCCCCATGATCAATCAGGGCTTCCTTCACTGCCTCATACCCATGCAACACCACAGTGGGCTTCATCCCAAAGTACAGAGTGAACACAGGGCCATAGACTTTTGAGAACTGGGAATTGGAAAGCAAAGCAATGGGTAATTATTACTTGTGGGAGGGGACAGTGTGTCATGGGATGGCCCAGGCAGTTGATGCTTAGATTACAGTAAATTGTCACATCAAAATAGTTAGCTGGTTTCTTGATCATTTTTCAAAGAGAAACTGAGGAAAGAGTTTTCCACATTAATTTTGGCCTGAATTGCTAATGAATAAAAGACTCAGCATCGGAGCTGTTTGATGTTGTTGTTATTATTTTTTTAACCACTTGATGCCTGGGAGATTTATTTCCATATGTGCTCAATAGTAAAATAAGTATGAATGCCCAGATAACTGCTTCAAGAACACCTGAAAAGCTTCTCCTGCAGAACTTCATCACACGATGAAGAGTAGAAATCCATACCAAGCAACTGAGGTTCACACAGTTATTACTACAGACATGGAGACTGAGTACCACTAAAGCAGCACTCAGCATGAGCATAGCTAAGAGAACATTTCTTACCTGGGGCATTCATGTTCCCAGGCACCACAGAATAAAAGTCAATTTGGAGAGTATCAAATATGCTGTGGACATTGATTAATTTACTTTTCCTGTGTTACTACACATATATAGATATTTTCTTTTGATAAAACATTATTTACAGAACTTCAGTACCACTGACAAATGTCAACAAAGATACATGTCTAAAATGTTGCCTGAATTGTTAAATGATATGATGTGTTCTTTACCAGAAAATTTTAGCAATGAATTATGGGAAATTGAAATAAAATTTCAAAGATGGGAAGAGGTATGCACAACTTTTGCAATTTTGCAAATTTTATTATAATGTGCAAAGAGATCCAAAAATTCTCTAATTCACAATAGAAATTGCTAAATTTCTGATGGGGACAAACCTGAAAACACTGAAGGTGCATGCAATTTTAAGGGTTTTTTTTTTTTAATTAGTTACATTTTATTAACTCTGTATTCCAGCTGTAACCTGCTCCCTCATTCCCTCCCAAGCCCTCCCTCCCTCCTTCAGCTCCTCCTTGCCCCTTTCTAAGTCCACTGATAGGGGAGGTCCTCCTCCCCTTCCATCTGATCCTGTTTTATCAGGTATCTTCTGGACTGGCTGCTAAATCCTCCTCTTTGGCCTAGCAGGACTGCTCCTCCCTTGGTGGGTGGGGAGGTAAAAGAGTCTGTGATTGAGTTCCTGCCAGAAATCGTCCCTGTTCCCCTTACTATGGGAAAGCAATTGGTTACTGAGCCACCATGGGCTTCTTAAAACCATTGATTACAATATTATTTTGACCATTCATGAAAATGTAAATACAAATAACATTATATAGACTATACAGGTTATACTTAAGAATATATACATACTCATATATATATATACATATATGCATGTAACAACAATAAAAAAAAGAAGCCATGAATTTGAAGAAGAAAAAGGAGCAGCATATGGGAGTGTTTGGAAAGACTAAAGACAAGAGGGAATATACACAATATCATAATAATAATGTCATTGTATTCTAATCTCAAAATTTTAAAAATAAAGAATAGCTCAATGTATCTTTGCAAAATACTGGAGAAGGATAAGGCATACTTACATTGGTTAAGCATTGGCTGATATTCTTCACATCTATCTGGAGAATATTGCCAATAATTGGGAGAGGAGTGGGGCCAGGAGGGAGCTTCCCTCTCCCTGAGCTCTGTCTCCAGAGTGAGAAGAGAAGCAGACAAGAGAGAGTGAGCACCAGAAATGTGAGCAGATCCATGGAGCCTCTTCTAACTAACACGACTGAGAGCAGGCAGCATGGAGCTTTTATCATGTGGCTACAGAATCAATATGACATCATAACTGACTAATCAGATAAATGTTCTTTAATCTCTCTTTTGAGTGAACTTTATCCTAGTGACAAAGACAAAAATAAGATGTTCTTCATGCCTGTTCTTGTTAATAGGTGCACATAAGAGATTCTTTGTAATACAAACCAAGTATTGTAATTTAAAAAGCAAAGCTGATGTTTAGATCACTAATCTTGAAAGTGTTAAGGTTGATAATTGAGTAGAAGAATATGTCTTAAAATTCTATTACATTGATTCCAATGATTCTGAGATTAGTTACCAGGTTAAGGATTTTTGACATTATGGATATTTTGTATTGCTATGAAATATGTTTGTTTTCAAGCAAAGTCTCATGATGTACCTTACTACTCATGTGCTTTATCTCCCTGAGGTTACAAGTCTATGCACACAGCACCATGCCCACGCTTACCTGGATATTTAAAATATTTATTAGTTATCTTAAACATTTGCACATGCGTTCTCAATAAGAATAGCCTTGGGGAGTGGCATGTATGCAGAAAGGGGTGGGAGGGTGGGATCGGGAGGGAAGGAGGGAGGGGCTTATGGGGGGATACAAAATGAATAAAGTATAATTAATTTAAAAAAAAGAATAGCCTTATCAGTACTTAATAGACTTAGAGAAATACAACTAAATAAAGTTTGGCTTGTGTTCCCCAACATCTTGACTGAAAGACCATACATTATTCTGTCCCAGAACCCCATATAACACAAGTCAGGGAAAGACAAGACTGTTGTTATTTGCTCTAATGGTGAAAAGAGAAACAGAGGAGTTGTCAGTATTGCACAGCTCACTGAAAGAAATAAATAGAATTCAGTGAGATTTTCTGATGGCCCTAGTTATTCACTGTGGCTTTATAGCAAATACTTTTCCATTGAAAATAGATTCTTTTCTCATGACACAATTCTCATCACAATTCTCTAATTGTTAAGAAGAAAAAAAAATTGCTATACAGTAAGGGAGGTGGAATACAGAGCAGTTTCTGTGACTTTAACAACTTATGGGTACTCAGAGATGCTTGAAAGCATAGTATAAAATGACCAGAGTGACCTTTATGGAAGGTGAGGACACAGGATCATAAAGATTCAAATATAAGTGGAATTATATGAATTATTATAATAATAATTGCAAAGTTCAATCAAAGGATTGATTTATAAAAATTTCATCATGTTTGCTTTAAATTGACTAAGCAGATATCCCTGTGCTCTCTTAGCACAGAAAATTTTATTTAAATATTTTTTCACAGTATTTCATAAATTATATTACACAGATTCTGTGAATTTTTTTTAAATACTCACAGCAGTATTTCTTCCAATTCTTTCTACTTTCCTTGTCTAAGCAAAAAATTTTCCCAATGGGGATTTAAAGGTGAGCATTAGAGATTTGGTGCTTTGTCCAGACAGAGATTACAGGTAGTAGATCTAGAATTTGAGCTCTAATTCTACTTTTTTTTTTCTCCACAAAAACATTCAGTTCCATGGCCTCCACCAATCTTTACTGGCTGGGTACTGTGATTCAATGTCAACCTTACTCAGTCACATTCAAAAAGAACATAAGTTAATAATTACATGATCATTTAGGACATGAAGTTCATGAAAGTTTCATTTTAATGATCTTTAGAATCTAGTTAATAATTAGATCATCATTTGTCCACCTAAAGGTCAGAAAAGTTCTATTTTAATAATCTTTAGAATCTATTTAATAGGTAGATCATCATTTTTTGGCACAAAGGTTAGAAAAGTTTTCTTTTAGTAATCTTTCAACCTTTGGTGACCCAAAGACTTCTTTACTTGTTATCTTAGCAGGGTAAGCATAATTTGTTGCTCCATCCCTATTGATCAAAATTTCCAGAGAAACAAAGTTCCTTTCACTGAACATAGGCTAGACTAAAAAGCACAGAACTTTATATTGGAATTTGTATTGAATGTTGGTAAACTCTTAAATTGGTGAGATCTAAATGGCTATTTTTCCAAGAGTAGTAGATGAGGACAGACCTGTAGGAAATGGTTTGAGACACATGTCCTAACCTGTTGTATTTCCCATCTCTGTGTGGCTGCTCAAATCTTGAACTATACTTCACCCACAGAGGTAATCAGTATAATATTCAGCACATCCTTGGTCCTTTCCCAATGCTGAGCTGGCCTCAGCACTTATCTGAGCTATATCGTTAGGATAGTGTACAACATACAGCAATTATTTTCTATTTTATTTTTTTAATTTTAATTTTTATTAATTACTTTACTCACTTTGTATCCCCCCATAAACCTCTCCCTCCTCCCCTCTCAGCTATCCATGAGTTCATTGAAGTTCAAAAGAACAGTTTTTTTGTTTGTTTGTTTTGATTCTTCTGTTTGTATTAAACCCATGTTCTTCAGCCTAGAAGAGGGAAGAACAAGATAGAGAGAGAAGACTGCAGCGACCATGAAGGCATCAGTGATAGTGTGATGTTCAGGACAAACCACCTCCACAACCTCCCTCAGAGAGAGCACCAATGAGGACAGCTTCTTCAGATTCTGCTGTTTCCTCAGACAGGTCTCCAGAGAGCAGCTTAATAAGCATCCATCATGGAGCTCCTCCTCCCCTGGAAATAGGAATGTCTAGCCCTTCCCCCTGCATATAGGGAAGATCTAGCTGCATAATTTTGTTACTGATACTTCTGTGGAATACTATGTTAATTCTGATAAAAAGTATCTGTTTGATTCTTACAGCTGGCAGCATGTAGATGTAGAACTGCCAACACTATTTAATATGCAGCAAGCTCTGTGGCTCAATGCTTGGGTGCTACTGCTTTAGACATAGTCAAAAGCAGAGCAGAAGACAGAGGGATACGTTGTTCCTGTAGATAAAAATATTACATGAATTTAGATAAGGTTTAGGATGTGATAACCATAAAAATCCTGAAGGGGAAAATGTGCAGTAAGTCTTTTTTAAAATATAAGCTTTGTGTCCCCGCTTAGTTCTGTGACTGCCTGTGTGATTTTCTTCCATCACAGACCTGCTCAGCATCTTCAGCATTAGCTCTGGTCCTGTTAGTGGTTGAGAGTGCCTGCCATGCACAGGCTCATTTCTCCTTGCTTCCTATTGATTAATTGGAACTATTCAGTTGCAAATGGATATGCAACAAAATGGGGGAAGGGTGGAAAAACAAGCCCAGGGCTTGATGTTCAGGGGTCATTTTTAGATTTAGAAGCAGCCTGCTGCTCTCCGTGAAATCACTGAGTGTAATTAATGACACACATTCCTCTTTTTGGTGGTTTTTCTTTTAAGGGTAAACTACTAGTCTCTCTCTTTCTCTTTCTGTCGTTTTGTCTATCTGTCTCCTTTTTTCTCTGTATATGCATGTGTATGTGTATATATGTGTGAATGTGTGCATATGTGTGTATGTGTGTGAGTGTGTTTGTGTATGTTTGAATGTGCAAGTGTGTGTGTACATGCCCCCACGTCTCAAAGTTAATGACTCTGTTTACGTTGTTAAGTTTCTACCTGGATAGTGTTTACATTCACCTCTTACAAAGTATCTTCTTTAGTCTTTATAGAAATCTGGACTCTCATCTTTAGACCAGAAATAATAGATCGTGCACTGTTCACATTGCTAACCCTCAGCTTTATTGTTTTCAGTTTTGGAGAAAGCTTTCCAGTTTAGACAGCTTTTCTTTTTTTGACTGACTCTCTCATTTGAAAAACACATGGTTATTCCTCATAAAAACTCAAAATGGAGCAGCTTGCTGTACTGGGTGATTGGGTGGTGTGGTATAAGAGGCAAAACACTCATACTCATCTTTGATGGTCTCTTTGGACTGCAGGCAGGATGCCACTGGTGTTCTGATACCTGACAGGTGATTATGAGCATGAGACCATGACTTGTAGTGGGACCAAGTGTTTTCCTTCTCTATGTCTTGTAATAGTCTTCGTTTTAGGGTCAGTGCAGTGTCAAATCAATACCGACTGCTCCGGTCTGCCCTGCCAAACTGTTTTGTGCACAGAATGCCTTGGTACACTCTAGAAGCAGAACTGACTTTTGCTTTTTCTTCTAAGAATTGTGTATCACATGTATCAGTGTTTTTTGGGTTTCTTTTTTGTTTTTTGTTTTTTTGTTTTTTGTTCATTACTTCAAAAAAATATAGAGAGAATCAATTTAATTGCTATCCCCTACCTGTGGGCTTACCTGGATAGTCGCTATCAGATCATTGCTGAAATCATCACCTCATATTTTCATGCTATCATGAAACTTTCAGAACAATTTCTTGTTGGGTACATTTGGGGCAGAACATTTTTGTAAGACCAGTCTGTCTCTTTCCAAGCATCTAGAAACATAATCCAAAACAGAGACTGCCAACCACCTTACTCTTTGCACTCATCTCCAGAAGACGGTCAGGATTCACACCTCCCCGGTCAGGCTGTACCTCCAGAGGAATAGCCAGGTCCTCTGGAGCTAACAACATACAGTTTCAATATTCTTGATTTGGGATTTCAAGCAGATGGTATAGAGGCAGTTGATTGTTAATTTTATTTCCATTTGTGAAGTGGACAAGGAGGGCAGTGTTCATGAGGTAACAGTGCACTTCCATTATCAAGAAAGTTTTTGAAGTTCATTATTTATTTATTTATTTATTTATTTATTTATATTTATTATAATTTATTTACTTTGTATCCCAGCTGTAGCCCCCTCTTTATCACCTCCCAATCCTGCCCTCCCTCCTATTTCTTCTCCCATGCCCCTTCCCAAGTCCACTGATAGTGGAGGTTCTTCTCCCCTTCCATCTGACCCTAGCGTATCAAGTTTCATCAGGACTGGCTGCATTGTCCTCCTCTGTAGTCTGGTAAGGCTGCTCCCCCCTCAGGAGGAGGTGCTCAAAGAGACAGCCACTGAGTTCATGTCAGAGACAGCCTCTGTTCCCATTACTATGGTGACTATTGGGAGCATAAGCTGCCATGGGCTACATCTGTGCAACTCTAGGTTATCTCCATGAATGGTCCTTGGTTGGAGTATCAGTGTCAGAAAATACCCCCCGGGCTCAGATTTTTTTTTTAGTTCTGTCCCTCACCTTGTGGAGCTCCAGTCCCCTCCAAGTCTTTCTATCTTCCCCTTCTTTCATAAGATTCCCTGCACTCTGCCCAAAGTCCATCAAGGAATTTTTAAACCTTGAACTAACTTCAAGTGCTTAAAAGTAATGGTACAATTACTGTAGAAATTGATATGCAGTCAAAAAAGTCCACCTTCAGTCCTCTATGAAATATATTCATATTTTCTGTGTGGTTGTTTCCTAAAAGATTATGTCCTTTAGGGAGTATGTTATTTTATTCTGTTGTTGCTGTAGTTGTGTTTTAATGGCTGATCCACACGAGGCCACAGCCAAAACACTATATACAGACACAGGCAGCTTTATTTCTTCGCCCTTCCTGCCTGGACAGAATATGGATAATCTCTTCCTTCTGGGCCTGGAGCCCCTCATCCTGGTGCTTCAGTGCTTTCTTGCTCTTAGACAAGTGAGCCTCAGCCTGGTCAGCCAGGAGCTCCTTGTGGGCCTGGTCTGCCTTGAGCTTGTGGATGTGTTCCATGAGAATCTGCTTGTTTTGGATCACATTCCCTTTGATATTCAGGTACAGGTTGTGATACATATGGCAGTCTGTCTTCTTAGATTCATGATATCTCCTGAGGAGGAGGGGCAGGATCCTCATTCTTCTCATCCAGGCCACCTTCTCAGGCACCCAAGTGTTGGCAGTACCTTTCTGCCTCTCTATGCCCACATGCCTGCCCTTCCATCGAGCCACGATGTTTTTCTGGCATCATGCCCGTGATGGACTATCACAGTCTTCCAGATCAGCCTGTCTTTGATCTGTTCGCTGTATTTCTGAGGAGAGTTGGCATTGGTGATCTGGTTGATCTCATTGGGATCCAGCCAGACCTTCTTTTTGCCACAGTGG